GGAAAGAAAGAGTGGAGCCACCCAACAGGAGCTGCTACTGGAAGCCCAAGGGGCATGATTTCAGATGAGAGACAAAACACAAGATGATGGTAATGACGATGTGTGGCTATTTTGGGGGCTGATTTCTGGTGTGAATGCACATTGGCAGCACTTATGTTTCTTCTTGACACCTTTTCTCTGATGTCACAAAAATTTCTACTTGTCTGCAAGAACAATCAAGATCTGCTGGACAGATTGCCATGAAATCTATCTAGCTCAGCCGTGCATCCCTGCCAGTTTCTGCTTTGGATACGCTATGATTTTTCCTCATGAGGACCCGCTCCCCAGTGCAAAATGTCGTAGTGTATTGCATTATAGGACAATGTTATCTCTCAGCCCTCGTATTAACAGCAGTATAGTAGTTTATAACTATGCAACTATGATGACAGGGATTAGAATCTGGGGTATTTTTCTAAAATGTTGGATTGAGCAAAAATCTGACTAGAAGATGACCCACAGAAAAGTATATATTCAAAAAGCACTTACAAATATGCATGTGTACATACAAAGCGCACGATGAATCCTCCGACATATACCCTTGTCCCAAAGCATACCACCTTTAAAACAAAGTGGGAGAAATCTGAGACAATCTTTTCTCCCAAATTAAAAAGTTTATCACCAGCAGTGAAACTGTTGAGCCCTCACACATCTGTTGAAGGGAGATTTACTTCTTCCTATTTACATCTTGGCACCTAGTACATCCTCCCATCTTCATAGCACAGCGCTGATAAACAACATTGGTGTGCCAAGTTTTCCCAGTTTGTTGATTACTGTTGGGCCTGTCCTGATTTAGGGCGAGTGGGAATAATCCAAGATGATGTGATCTATCTACGTGTCAATCTGCGGCTCCAGTTAGCCGTAGAAGACTGAATGAGTACACCACCACAGCAACACACTACACCACAACATCCATGCTGATTTGTGAAAACACAGAAACAGACTGGGAGTGTGAGTCAGGAGAGACCTGATGATTCAACGTGATCTCCATTTTTCTGTTTGGATTTTATCCAATTACAATAGGTGCTTAACAGTTTTTACAAGACATCTGGCTACTTTGATTTTTTTTCATTGTTAAGAAAAAGTGTCTTGTTCATACATGCTCATTATTTAAATACGGTATCTAGAACCTATTTACAAATTAGTGCTCTATGTGGGGAATAAAGTCTAATGTAACTTTCTGGGACCAATTCAAAAAATACAAACATGTTGATGTAGTAGAGGTGCTCATAATCTTTTGTTTATGTCCACAGTGTCATGATGATATGTCTGACTGTGTGCGTTCATACCGGTGTGAATCTGCCGGTGAGCCTCCAGGGATTCCTCTGTCTGGAACTGGGCGCCACACTGGTCGCATACTATGGCCTTCTCACCAGCTGGAAAACAAAAGATAAGACAGTGGATGTTTATCACACAGTCAAACATATGCAAGCAAAGCAGAAGGAGATACAGAGAAAACAAAGCATCCTAAGAAAATGCATTTCATTAAAAAAATTACTTAAAATTTCCTAAATTTAATTTGCACTGAAAATGAATTAAATTGTGTCATGATTTGAATTTGAAATGATGACCTCATTTCAGTTACTGTAGCATCAGAGCTTAGGCTAAAAAATGTAAGAAGTGAATGTATAACTCAAAGAACTGATAAGAAAATGTTGTGTCTTGCAAATAACATTTGCATATACTGTATATTGACTGATAATTAACCCCCCCCCCCCCCAAAAAAAA